CCTTGATAAATTTTTTGCGTTATATTCATTTTTAAATTGAATTTTTATAGTATGTATATGTAAGTTTTTGTTTTGTTATTTTGTTTGCAATATTGAAGTACCTTCCTAGTCCGTATTTTTTTAGATACTAAAATGAATTAAATAAAACTATAGTAAATTTTCTGATTTTAAATTAAAGTTTAAATTTTATTTGATATATAAATTATTTATATATTTTTATATTGCCAGCTCAATTCTCCAATAGGAGACATGAATACTTTTCCATTTCATCCCGAACAGCCTTTGCTTCACTTGTTATATAAGAACTTGGAACATTTTCTGTTCCACTCACAGCATCTAGTGGGAAGTCATTTCGCCATGTACCAGGAATTAAAGCACCGTCCTCATCGTAGCGATCAACAAGCAACGACGTTGTATAATTTAAATTTTTTTTTAACAAAAAATTGTGTAATGCACAGCAAGCTAGAGTTGTAGAGGTTGTTTTCTCTGCATTAAGCTTGGAAGGGCGTGAAAAAATTTGAAATCGCTTGACCATTATGCCAAATGCATTTTCTACAACACGTCGTGCTCTCGATAGCCTGTAGTTAAATATTCTCTGCCCTGCAGATAAACTTTTACCAGGATATGGCTTCAGCAAATGTTTCTGCATGCGGAAAGCATCATCCGCAACCAAAACAAATGGAACATTTGCTTGACGACCTGGCAATGGTTTTGGAAGTGGCAAATTTAGCTCATTTTGTTTAAAGCACGTTGAAAAGTACAGTCTCCAAAGACTCCACCATCCGACACACGACCATTACAGCCAACATCAACGTATAAAAAGTTGTATTCGGCATCAACAACTGCCATTAGCACTATACTATGTGTACCTTTATAGTTATAGAAGGTGCTTCCTGAATTAGGTGGTGCTATAATTTGCACATGTTTGCCGTCAACCGCCCCTATGCAGTTCGGGAAGTTCCATAGTTTGTTAAATTTGAAAGCAACGACATTCCATTCTTCCTGCGTGGATGGTATCTACATACATATCAAAAGAAATAATAAGTCAATTAAAAAGCATAAATATGTGTGTATTTAGATTTTTCATACCTTTATGTATGCACCTTTTAACGCTTTATAAATAGCATCACAAACAATTGGTACGAAAAGTGATATGGTATTTGGGGCAACACGGAAGAAGACCGAAAGACTTTTATAACTGTCACCAGATGCAAGAAATCGAAGTGTCACAGCTAAGCGTATTTGTTCGGGAATAGCCTTTCGCATGTTGTTCTTGTTTTTAATATGGTGACACTAGTTGCAACAATTCGATAAACGTTTCGTCATCCATCCGGATAAAATTTTTAAACAAAACTTTTGGTTTTCGATTTCCCGGAATTCCATTAATGTTTTGTCATATGCACCATCAGTGCTTCTTTTTGTGAGCCACTCTCTGACCCACGTACTTCTATTTACTTTTTTTTCTTTTCTTTCCTTTCATTTTCTCATCGTCAAATGCACACACCATAATTATAGCTGCTGCAATTTTCTTTTTTTTTAAAGAACACATCTTAATAAAACAAATTTTTAAATGCTTTAACATTTTTAATAAACAAACTTTGACACATAGCAGCTGCTTCTGATATTTGCCGTGTAGTAGAACAATCGTGTGACTGAAGTTGGACAATAATTGTCACTTGATGGTTTTGAGACAATATGCGGCAATCAAATTTATGAAAAGTTGGACAATCATGTGACCGCAGAGAATTTGATTGTGACAATTTATTTATTGTAGTAAAACTTTGGACAATAAAAATTGGTTTAAATTGGCGCATTGCGACAATCATGTGATCCCACCTTTAGGCGGTAGTATTCATTACGAACTTTAAATACAAAATGTGAAATAATTCCGGTAGATAATAGGTGTACAAACGGAATGACAAACCTAATATACCCTTCATACTATGGGTATAAAAATGTCTCCGTGAAATTTGGTGAAAATCAATTCAGAATTGGATATGCCTCCCATATATTGGTTCCCTCTGAAACAAAATTATAACTGCTCCAAAGGTATACTCTACTTCAAATAAATTATTTTGTTACGGGAGCTCTACTAAATATGCATAGAGGTGTAGGGTATCATACAGTCGGCCCCCGACCGACTTTTGACTTTTCCTTACTGGTTTAATTATTAATCTGGTTTAAAAATTAATCAGTAAACAATCATGAAAAGCAAGTTTTTAAGGGTCAATAACTACAGACTTCAATGAATTGCTATTTCGAATCATTATTTGGTAATTAGAAATCAATTACGTTGTCTCAATCGCAAAATATTTGTATGTTGTGTGGACTTATGCGAATAGTTTAGAAAAACCTGTTAAGAGCCATGCATCTAAAATTTGTTAGCATTCTTATTATTTTCAATTGTGTCAATATATCGCAGGTATGTAATTGGAAACATTAAAGCTAAACACAAGAGAAACCATATAAACGAGAATTCGAAGTTTTCAATGTTTCGAAGGCAAGAGGGCCAACAACTCGTGGACAATCGGGAACCATGATAAAGCGATGCCTGTTTGCTTACGATTGGTATTCGGTACAATTGGTACAATTTACAGAAAATACCAAATAGTACTGAATTTGATATTTGTGGTAAAAATACAGTGTGAGTTAAAAAACGGCAACAAAGTCAAACGCCATAATTTTTATACCCTACACCACAAGGTGGTCAGGGTATTATGTCTTTGTGTATTTGTTTGTAACAGGCAAAAGGAAACGAGATAGACCCATAGTTCCTCTTGATGATCTGCATAGAATCACTTTCTGAGTTGCATGTCAGTCCGTCCGTCCGTCTGTCCATGTCCAAAATGCAGGTCGCATTTATTATCCGATTGAGATGAAACAACATTTGTTTGGCCCAAGGACGAACCCTATTGAAATTGGAGATAATCGGTAAAAATTTATATATAGCTCCCATACATATCTTCGTCCGACTTGCTTTTTATTGTGCACCAAACGTGTAATATCAGCCCGAATAGTATGGAATTTTGCACATACAACCAAATTAGGCCTGAAAATAAGTATGCCAAATTTGATCTAAATCGGTTGAGATATATCTATAGCTCCCATATATATTGTTCATCCGATTTGTTATTTTTGTCCTCCGCAGCCGTAATATGCACTCTGTAACAACAATATTTGGGGAAATATATCAAATGCAGCTCAGAAATACCTTTGTTAAATTTTATCGAGATCGGTTCAGATTTGGATGTAGCTCCCATATATAACTTCGTCCGATTTACCTTTTATTGTGCACCAAACGTCTCATATTTGCCCAATGGGATGGAATTCGGCACATGCGAATTTAGTCTAGAAGGTAGTATGCCAAATTGGTGAAGATCGGTTCAGATATAGCTACAGCTCCCATATATATTGTTCATCCGATTTGTCGTATTTGTTACCTACAGCCGTTGTTATGCACTCCGTAACAACGATATTCAGGGAAATATATCAAATACAGCTCAGAAATATCTTTGCCAAATTTTATCGAGATCGGTTCAGATTTGGATATAGTTCCCATATATATTGTATATATTTCAAATTAATTGTGCACCACATGGGCAATACAAGTCCGAATTTGAAAGATACAAATGCTTCGGCATATTTAGTCCTTTGAATTTTAAATTATAATATAATCATAGGGTGTATGATTGAATTCTCCCATAAAAACTTTTAATTATTAAGTGGAGCTCAACTAAATTATCAAAGTGGTATAGGGTATCATAAAATCGTCCCGGCCGACTTTAGGACTTTCTTTACTGTTTTTTTTTTTTTTTAATTTTATTGAATGAAGCTAAAAATGTCGGAAATAGCATAAAATTTAGAATAAGTTTAGATTTATTCGAATTGGTCACCTTTGCCACGAATTATTGCCTCCAAAATGCCAATGAAACCGTGACACGCTGCCCGACTGTTGCTCTACGGAAGGTCAGCGGCCAAAATGTTTGCGTGTCCAAGGTTTTAATACACCCTCCAGAATATTTTTGCGATAATATTCCGCATTTAATCCGAGCGGAGAGCGACCACCGGCTGTTACGGCGGTCCACACCATCACCATGGCCGGCGCTTGAGTTCTGGTGACCAACAGTAAACACGATTATTTGTTTGTTTACAAACTGCTGGACAACGAATGTTTTCTCATCGGAGAAAACAAAATTCGGCAGTTCACCACTTTCGGCCAAGCGAAGAAACTCTTTAGCTCTTTTGAGTGTCTTTTCTTTCCGTTGCGGTGTAAGTTCTGGCACTTTTTGGAATTTCAATAACTCATTTTTCAATATTTGCCGAATGGAATATTCGATATGTTCAGCTCACGAGCCATTTTTCTGTCACTGGGAGGTGAGTTTCGATCAAGTCGCTTCTTTACTTTTCGAACCATTTCTACTGATGTTGCTGTTTCTTACTTCCACTTCCTTGACGTCGGGTAACGAGCGATGGTACGAGACACAAAAGATTTATTCACATTTAAATGCTGGAGTGCTTTAACGATAGCCACTTGTTGTTTTCCAGTCATATGTAAAGAAATCACTATATCACGCTTGAATTCCAAAGAATTGTGGAGAATTCTCACCAAAATGCTTTTGTACGCTTGTAAACAATATATGAGCTGTCACAGGCATAATTTCATTAACTGTCGGACGAATGGCTTAGAAATGACAGCAGTCTGAAGTTGGTTGCAATTTTTTCATCTCACCCTGTTGATTCCTTATTCCTCATAAATACCATCTGTGGCCATGTGGCTGGGTGTATACAAAAATCCCACCTAGCCAAATTTCATAGACTATTACATAAAGTATCAGACATCCTCCATCGATATCACGGCTAGTAAAAAGATTTATAAATTGTGGATTTTTGTTCGAATGCTGTAGGTTTCATTAGGACTTACAATGTTGTGTTTGCATTGCTTTCAATTAACTTCAACGTTTTTTGTGTCCTTTTCTTTATTCCGCTTTTATTAGGCAGCGAAACGACCATTTATCCTGAAATTTTACAATGTAACCTGTACGAACTATGATGACCTGATAAAGAAATATGAATGCAATATAAAAATGCTATCCACCAGTCGCTATGCTTACAACATGTTGATAGAATTTAATCGTGATTTTCCTATTTCTACCAATATTCGATTAATGGCCATGTATTACGGAAAGCCGAATAGTAAAGCTGTCAAACTTTTTGATGTCAAATTCAATTGGTGTGACATGCTGCAACACACTGTCGCTGTGCCGGTGATAAAGTCAATCCTGGTGGAAATGACACGATCCAGTAATTTTCCACTCACGTGCCCGTTGAAAGCGGTAAGTACGCTGTGAGTGATCTAAAATTATGTTTTTATTTAATTCTCATCAAATTCTAGAATTATACCTATACAATTGAAAATTTCATTATAACCGAAGAAATGCTTCCTCCATATGCTGGCACATGTAATTTTAGCTACGACATACTTTGATGGAAAATAAAGGGCATTGAAAATAAAAAAACTTATTATATCTGAAGTCAGTCAGCCACAGCACATGATCGTTTATTAATGCATAAACTTTCGGGAATAAAAATACATAGAAAAGAAGAAGAAGAATGTTGCCAACCATCAATATGAATCCAGCAAGACGTCAATATGAAACCAGTAGGGAAAAGTCAAAAGTCTGGCGAGGCCGACTATATGTTACCCTACACCACTATGCATATTTAGTAGAAAGATTATATTAAAAGAAGTAAAAAAAAAACATTAAGTTCGCCCGTACCAAACTTTAATACCCTGTACCTTAGGGTAAAGGAAACATTAGGGCCCATTATGACCCACATATACAAATTTTTAGACATATTCATGGGAAAATGTGCCAAAAATCATCAAAATACCGAATATTGGGGAATACGGCTATATGGGGCTATACAAAAACGTGGACCTATACCTACAGCGTTTCGTTTAAAAGAGGTAGAACCCATTAAGACCAACAAATACCATTTCTAGACAAATCCGCAAAGACATGTGGCAAAAAACATCAAAATGTCGAATATACGGAGGTACCGTTTAATAGGAGCTATACCAAATCGTGGACCGTTATATGGGGACTATACCAAAACGTGGACCTATACATACAATGTTTCGGCACACGAACTGTTATATGGGGTCTATACCAAGACGTGGACCGATATATCTCATTTTCAATGCTAACCATCGTCGACACAATAAAAATTGCTCTGTTAAATTTTGGCGCTCCACCGCAAATAATGTGGGATGTATCGTGATTACTGGTAACGTAGCCCGACGTCAAGGAAGTGGACGGAAGAAAACAGCAACGTCAGCAGAAATGGTTCGAAAAGTAAAGAAGCGACTTGATCGAAACCCGCATCGCAGTGGACGTAAAATGAACATATCGAAATATTCCATTCGGCAAATATTGAAAAATGAGTTCGGGTAAAGCCACTGGGATTCCAAAAAGTGCAAGAACTTACACAGCAACAGAAAGAAAATAAACTCAAAGGAGCTAATGAGTTGCTTCGCTTGGCCGAAAGTGGTGAACTGCGGAATTTGGTTTTCTCCGATGCGAAAACATTCGTTGTCCAGCTGTTTGTAAACAAACAAAATGATCGTGTTTACTTGCCAAAGAGGTCAGCTGAAAATATGCATCTTCGGTTGACCACCAGAACTTAAGCGCCGGTCATGGTGATGGTGTGGGCCGCCATAACAGCCGATGGTCGCTCTGCACTCATTTTAATCGATCGTGGCATCAGAATAAATGCCGAATATTATTATTAAAGCCTTGGGCACGCAAACATTTTGGCCGTAGACCTTGGACATTCCAACAAGAATCACGACCGTCGCACTCAGCACGCACCACCCAAGAATGGTTACAAAATGAGGTTCCTCGCTTCATTTTCAGCGCACAATGGCCACCAAAATCTCCGGATACCAATCCGTTGGACTATTGTGTCTGGAGCATTTGGGAGAGCAAGGTTGGCACTAAGAAATACCAAAGAAAGCGCTTCGCCGAGTATGGACCAAAATACCGCAGAGTAACATTCGGACAGCGTGTGACGGTTTTATTGGCCGTTTGAAGGCTATAATTCGTGCCAAAGTTGACCAATTCGAACAAATGTAAACTTATACTAAAATTGATATGGTGGGGGTTAGATAGAAAGGTAAGTGATGGGATCAAAAATAGGACACCATATGAGTAGAGGTGTCATGGTGACATGTAATCTCGGTGTTTGGGCAGTTTACCTAGCAGGATAGCCACTAGGTGAAACCTGTTTCGAGACAGCTCAGAGATATTTGGCCAAATCACAATATTTAAGGCGAGTTCGAGATAAATGTTAGGGTTATATAGCTTTGTTTCATGTTTGTTAGACTTATTTCAGGTTCTTCACAACACAAGTAAACCCCATGCAGTTGGATTAAGACCGGTATGATTTTTTCTTAGTTTTTGTCAACCGAAATGTCCTAGAGTTGCTAGAGCCACACCCCATCCGACGAGTAATCGTCGAGGACACACATCTGCGGTATTCCGTTTTTTTTTTCCAAAAAAACGGTGGTTACAGGAGGTTAAGGATGCGAAGATAAACATGATTTTGCAACTGATTCTCTTGAAGATCTTGGTGCTCATCCGGAAAGAAAGGAAATTTCTTGGGATAGGAGAGATATAGAAGAGAGAGGGAGAAGAAAAGTTTTATAAAGAAAAGTACAGTTAGCATGGTGGTCCGCCTAACCAGGAAATGCCTTTGTTAATTATGGTGGGATCTATGCCTGAGAAGAACAGAGGCTGTCAAATAGTCTAAGTCTCTTGTTGAAAAATATGGGACATCTACAAAGTTGATATTTAATCGTTTCTAAGCCTTATTCGTCTTCACATAGTCAGCCTTCAGTAGTTAGAAACACTCTTGTTCCATCTTGAGGTGAGATAGCTAATACTGCAGTCAGTTTAACTACCATGATTCTTAAATCAGACCTACTAAATAATATTAGGATGTTTATTTTTCCCTTTGATATTACAGGCCCAATGGCCTCAGATATCCAGCAACCGGTTTCAAAGTACAATTTTTCCAGCTTCTTCGATGACAGATTGTTTAGAACTGCTGCAGCTTTTGAAAATTCTTAATAAAAAGTTAAGAAAAGTAATTAAATGTACTAGAAATTGAATAATTTTTATTGGACAAATGGAATGAGATTTGGAATGGAGAGTAGGATGGACGTACAAAAGGGTTTCGGAAATTCGAATTTTAAGGTTACGAAGATTTCTAAAACGTACTAAACTTCTTAATTGATACCATTTGATGCTATGTGAACGCAAAGAACTGAAATAAAAAAAAAAAAACAAGTAAAAAAGCTATAAATTCGGCCTGGCCAAACTTTGAATACCCTCCACAATTTGGAAAGAATTTGGCAATTTTCAAAAAATAAATAAATAAATAAAATCCGTTAAAAATTCTTTTAAAATCTTAAAAATATCGAATTTAGCCGTATGTTTACGACGACGTGTGCCAGCAGAGGCAACTTTTGTCATAAGCCATTACAACATTCAAACGCAAAACTAGAAAAACAAGTAAGCAAAGGCTATAGATGTGCGGGGCGACCATGTGATACCCTACAACACTATAATATGTTAGAAGCCCCCTTATATTCAGAACGATTTTGGAAGATTTTGTTTTTGAAATTATGTCACGAGATATTGACCAGAGAAATTCGCCCAATATTAAGCACTCCGTCATACTGTTGGTTGGTGTGGTCCTGTTTTCATCCAAAACGCTTGAATAATTCCCTGTCCTTAAGTCTCTTCTCAGGCGTGTCGATTGGCTTCAATTGTGTGATCAGGAAGTTTTTTTCTGTTTTTGTTTCATTTGACCCCTAAATATTTTGCGATCATCTCCAAATGCAAGAGGCCCTTCCTTATCTCCAAATTTAGACTCATATAGATGTTTGTTTACGATATTTGGCTATATTCGTCAACGAAATCAGCATAAAATGCCAGAAGTTCGGCTTTTGTGTATTTCGGATATCGCCTGTAAGTAATTCTGGTATTTGTTCACACAAAAGTAGCGGTCCATTCTACTCGCTGTCCTAAACTCTAACTTCATGTGAGATTTCGTGTCCTTTGGTTCTATTTGTGACCTTTATAACGGCTGCAAAATAAGGAACATTTTTAGTTGTTGGTCCATTTCAACCCCCAATATGCCTAGCCCCTTTGAGCCTAACCCCGCACTTATTAAATTTTTGTGAGGATTGGACGATAATTGCAATCTGTATATAATACCCTGTGTTGTAAGGTGAAAAAGTATTACAAATATACACTTCAATATTAAAGTCAAATTGAAAAAATCGCATGCGATAAAAAATATGAAAACATATAAAAAATGTCACAAAATACTACAAAACCTATATTACTCATTATTGACATATTTTTATGCGGTTTTTTTAGATTTTATAATTTTATGCCAAAAGGCATTCTGAATTGACAAAATTTTTCAAAATCGGTCTAGCCGTTCTTGAGATATAATCATTATAGCTAACATCCCCTTCCTTTGTATATACACATTGTATATATTTCGCTATATATATCCGATATTTTAACTATTGCATCTACGTAACGGTCATAATATTTCGCGGTATAATGGAAAAAATGACTTTCATTTAACACAAATGTTATGGTCCATTTCACCCACTAAATATTACCCGCTGACCACCAAAATTGGAAGGCTTCAGCCCAGCCCTAAGCTCTAGCCCCATGCTAACTTTCGCTTTGATTGGTCTATAATTGCGACCTGTGGAGCAACTACAAAATCATGTTTTTTTCAGTTTTTGGTCCATTTCAACCCCTAATATAATGCGACCATCTCCAAAAGAAATAGGGTTCTATTCTGATCATAACCCCACCTCCATTTTCAATTTCGTGAGGATCGAATTATAATTCCAACCTGTAGAGTGATTACAATTAACATGGACAGACGGACAGACGGACGGACGGACATACATAGCTAGATCGACTCAGCTCGGCGAGATAGGAAGATCCATATATACTTTCCAATGTTGGAAATCAATATTTCGAGGTGTTACATTTTTTGGCCCAATCAACTAATACCCCAACACATAGTGTTGTAGGGTATAAAAACGGTAAATAATGTAGCTAGAATCATCCAAATACCGAATATAGGGAGATGTCATATGGGAGTTATGCGAAGACAATTTTCTGGCACATGCTGCAGTATCCATTACAAACCTCCGCTATCAAATTTTAAACATTTCTGGCGAATAATGTCGCTAAAATCATCAAAATACCGAATATCGGGAGGTACCGTTATATGAGGGCTATACAAAAGGTAGACCTACATTATTCATTTTCATACCTAAATTCCTGCAAATATAATATACATTTGAGTAAAATTTTATCAACCCCATATTCGATATTTTCATGATTTTAGCGACAATATTCACCGGAATAGTTTCAAATTTAGTTT